GCTTCGTCGATTTAAATTGTATTGGGGAGAAAACAGCTGTAATTTTCTTCGATTCGATTCGAAACGTAAAATCATTCTATCGCGCATGCCATGGGCCCAGTTTAACGATTTAAGGAACATGGGAAATATAATTCCCAAAAGTTTTAAGTAGTTTCATATATGTATATTTTCTTTGTTTTAAATGTGCCTCAAATTCATTTAGCTGAGTATTTTTATCATGAAATTTTAGAAAAAGATTTTTTCAAAATTGGAAAATACTTTTAAAATATTTGAGAAAGTTTTTTTGAGTAGAATTTTTTATGAAAACAGTGGTTTAACAAATTTTTTAAGAAAAAAATTCAAATATACGTAAATTAAGTAAACATTGTTGTTAGGTGAAAAATACATATATAAACAAATTGAAAATTTTTGGGAAAATAAATAGTTTTCGGTAAAAATTATAAGTTCGGAAAAACAGTGATTTAACAAATTTAAAAAAGAAAATTCAAATATATGTAAATTAAGAAAACCTTGTTGTTAGGTGAAAAATACATATATAAACAAATTAAAAATTTTTGGGAAAATAAATAGTTGTTTTGATATCTTATCAGAAATAAAAAAAAATTAATAATATCAAGGGCGAAATACAATACTTAAATAAATTTTATTGGAAAAAAATTATTTTGAAGAAAAATTAATCTTAAAAAAAAAACTTTTTTTGGAAAAAAAACACTTTAATTGATATTAATGAACATTTTAGGAGATATTATTTTATAATATTTATCTAATCCTTGATGAACCACAATTTACCACTTAAGTAAATCATAAGTTTTTTAAATATATTCACACGGGCCTGAGCGGGTTAAAGTAAAATTGGCGCAAAATCATATGTGTTTTGCCTTGAATCAATGAGGATACGGTTTCCTTTTTTTCTCAGTGCAGTGAAAGAAACTTAGTCCCACCATACTTTAGTGGGATAAGAAAACAATAAGCTCCACTATTTGCAATGTTAGTGGTACTTGAGATTTAGTGCACTATGCCCATGTCTGGTCATATACAGACTTTTTTGAATTCTTAAAACACAAATAGACGCTATGAAGAAGACGAGCAAGCAACTGGAACATTACAAAAATTAAACGTTAAGGGAGTCAACCGCATTCTCTTTGAAAATGGATTTTTTAGCGTTATTCAAAAGGTAGGTTGGCAAAATTTTGAATTGCATCTTTTGTTTTCTTATCTTTATTTACATATGTATGTAGAGAGATGAAACGGAGTACTTGAGGAGAATGGAAGGAATACTAGTGCAATGTAGAATTTGTCCGCAAAAAATTAAAGGTTCGTTGGGTGTCTCCTCAAACTTTATAAGACATTTGCGCCTATACCATGAAAATGAGTTCAAACAATATGAGCAAAGGAAAAAAATTGAAATGGAAAACAAGCCGAAAAAGACTAACGATTTCGACGAAAGAGTTTTGATGTTTCTAGCCGCGACCTATAGTCCGTTGAGTACCGTGGAAAAACCTGAATTTAAAAATCTATTCAAAGGCTTACAGACAGAGTTCAAAAGCAGGCGCGTAATGGCAGATATTTTAGAAGAAAAACATTTGCAGTGGTTAGCAGAAACGAAAGATTTATTGAACACAGTGCAATATTATTGTACAACTGTGGATGTTTGGTCAGTTGGCGAGATATCATTTCTTGGATATACCTGCCATTGGCTATGCCCAACTACTTTCAAACGCAGCCATATAGCTTTGGCTTGTCGCCGTTTTAAAGGCAGCCCTACCTATGATAGGATTGCGCAGCTGATTGCCTCTATCCATGAAGAATTCAATTTGGAAGATAATAAGTTGCAGTTGACTATAACAGACAATGGTGCAAACTTTTGTAAAGCTTTCAAAGAATATGGTCTAACAGGTAATTTTGAAGTCATACATTTTTGTAAAGTTTCTCATAAAAACTTATGATTTACTACTTTTTTTTTTTAATATGTAGCGGAAGAAAGTATTGACAGTAGTAGTGATTCAGCAGAAGAGTCTTTCGTTGAAGAGGGGCGAGTTAAGTTTGTCGACACACCATTAGAACTGCCACAATATTTTAGGTGTGCCAGTCACACACTAAATCTATTGTCCTCTACTGATTTTCTAAACATCATTAAACAAAGTAAAAAGTTGTATTCGCGACACAAGCAGGCATTCATGCGGTAAAAATTTGTACACAAGCTGCTAGTATTTAGTATTTTAATAAATTTGATTTTTTTCTCAGCTGCTACAATATATGGCAAAAATGTGCACGCCCAAAATCGGCAACGTTAAGACAAGGCATATTATTGTCCTCATCACTAAAGACTCCAAGAGTCACATGTTGGAATTCTTTATTTGAAAGCGTGCAGAATCTATTGGCACATAAAGACAAATTATCGATTCTATGTACAGCACTAAATATTGCAAAGTTCACACCGCCAGACATCGAATATTTGGAGAGCTATGCAAAGTTGATGGAGCCTATAGCCAGTGCCATTGACTTTTTACAAAATGAAGAAAATATGTACTTCGGAAATTTTATTGCTGCGCTTATGTCTCTGAAGGTTAAATTGGGTAGACTACAAGAAACCAATGAGCTGAGCGCACTATCTCCAATATGTGGCGAAATGATAAATTGTTTGACGAAAAGATTCAAAACCTACTTTGAAGGTAATTATAGAATTATTTTAGTATGTAGGTATACATAATTAAGTACTTACTAATAAAGTATACCTTTTAAGGCGACAAAGAGTCGGAGGTAGCCATTGTCGCAACGATGACGTGTCCAGCACTGAAATTAAGATTCTTACCCGTATTGCAGCGAACGGCACCACAACTCAGTGCTGAACTATTAAAAGACTGGTTCCTTAAGTATTCGGCACACTGCTGCGATTATACGGAAACATCATCAGAATTACCAGCACTTGATATGACAAACTCATTTTTGGATTTCGGAGATACCAAACGTGAGTAAGAAATTAATTCAAAGCAATAATTTTTTTTCTACTTTATTTTCCCTTATATTAGCTGATTACAACAACCTTCAACGAGATGGTGCTCGGCAGCAGTTCGAAACATATTTACTGGATAAATCTACGTCTCTGAACTCGCTGCAAAACTACTCGTTAGTTAAAGATGTTTTCCTCAAATGCAATACCGCAATAACGTCTTCTGCTCCCGTTGAACGGTTATTTGCTTTTAGGGAGATGGTGGACGCGACTAGCGGAGAAAACTTGAGCGACAAGAATTTTGAGAGATTAGCTCTTATTAGGGTGAATAATTTGAATTAATTTTTGTTTTTGCGTTGTATTTGTAATATACATACGTGTAATGTTGATTTGTATATCATACTATGTATGCATATTGAATTTAATTTTTTGCTTTCCTTTTTTTTTTGTTGAAATTTGTATACATATAATAAATTATTTATATACATACGTAATATGTATGTAAATATAAAAAATTTTGCCACTATACGGCGTTTAGTTGAAATGCCGTTTCACTCATTTCTAGCACTATGTATGGGAGAAAAATGTGCCCTACGCTCATGCGGAACTGCAAAATCTACAAACTACTTCGAATACTTAGATTTGCTATGCCATGAATCTAGTACAGATTTGGTCGATGAGGAACGAATGGGTTCTACATATATTCGCTAAACTCAGTAGTCGCGAGCGTTACAGCCAAATAGAGTCGAGAAAAGATTGAGTTTAGTTGCTCCGTATGGAATCTAGGATACTACAAATGCATATGTATGTATGGTATAAGTAAATATTTTTTTTTTTTTTGGTAAAAATCATCTATGTATGAAGGTATAAAAAATCAAACGAACGACTTTTTTCAGTCTCACCCCCTCAATCGGTAATACCACGATAGCAGATATTACATACAAATTTTTATACCCGATTGCAATCGTTTAAGACGTTTTCATAGGATAATCTGAAGTTTGACCCCTGTGAGACACGTCTTATCCGACTCCAATCGGGCCAAAATTTGTGATATCTTCGTCTAAAGTAGTATTGATTTTGGGTATTAGGTGAAAAAAATTCATTTTAATTTTTTGAATCCCCATAGAGGAATCTGAACTTCGCCCCCTGTGCGACACGCCTTAACCGTCTCCAATCGGAACCAAAATCCTGTGATATCCTCGACTATAGTAGCATCGACGTAGGGGTTGAGCATTAGGAAATCTGATGTAAAAATTTGCTTCCTACATTTAAGGACCACCCTAATAATAAAAATAATAATAATAATCGATTGGCGCTTACACATATGTTAGTGTTTGGCCGAGCTTCCTCCTCCGATTTGTGGCGTGCACCTTGATGTCGTTACACAAGCTTTCTTCTGAACAGCGGTCGCCCCTCGGCAGGCAATGGCAAACATCCGAGTGTATTTCTGCCATAAAAAATACTTCTCATAAAAATACAATCGCCCTTCGCTATATTTTTTTGCGATGTTGGTTTGACCACGTCCTGCGGAATGGAAGCGCGCACTTCCAACCACTACACCACATCGGCCGTGGTCATGTATATAAGGAAACAAAGATTCCCTCTCCACTTTCTCATTAAAAATTCATAATAGAGCAGTTTTTGAAACTTAACAACACTACCCTTCAGGTCGCGGATAAATAGCCGAGTTTGTGTTGTTTTTTAGCATGCATTAGCTCGGTTGCAAAAGAATGCATCTATTACACAGTTCGACAAATGTAAAATTGTTTTTACCAGCCGAGTCAAATCTGGCTCTGACACGTCAGGATTCTGAGATATCCTAACCTCAAAGTGTCAAAAAGACGGTTTTTTGTCATTTTCACTGCGAAGTCTCTCTGGATTCCGAAATTTCATGTTCCTATCTGCATAAATGAAAGATTTATATCGGAAAATCTCATATCTGAACAATTAGCTATATCTTGTAGTGGTCCGATTTTTCCAAACACACACTATTTTTGTATGTATTTGAATTTGGATTTTCCATTTTTCTTTTCAATGAAATTATTTAAAATTATAGTGAATGATTTTCAACATTTATTTCCTTATTTAACTGTACACATAAAAGGCAGTTTCATTGTGGTTCCTGCTGTTAGTTTAAAAATGTGCAAATCAATTGTTTATATTTTTTTAAGTTTTTCTATTTACCGTATAACTATATGTACATAAGTATGTAATCTAATAAATTACTTACTCTACATAAATTGCACGATTTCATAATATTTATCTTTCTTTGTTTTCATTTCATAACGAACAAATTAAAACTAAAAATCTATGTATGTACTTAAGTTTTGAACTGTGAAATATTTAATCGCGCTTGAGTCCATTACTTCCCAACCCAATTTTCAAACGCTCCCTCCTCCTTCCTTTCTCATAGGTTTTACAATTCCGGTGAATTCGCTTCACGTTTCAGACTCAGCGCCTCATTGAGTGTTGGACTCAGTGCCAGCGCTGGATTCGCCACAGCAATGATGTGACCGCCAGCTGCCGAGATAACTTGTACGCCACCTAGTGGTGAATTGTTATGCAAACCAACAGTGGTGGATTCGGTGGTGGGACAGCCCAAAAGCTTTGCTTGATTGCGTTGTTGATGATTGGGTGAAGGTTTCGTGTGATCTGGGCTATCTAACAGCTCCTGCCCACTATGAACAGCTGTGGTGGTTATGACGTTGGCAGCAAAAGAGGTTAGACTTTTGAACTTCATCGAATCGGATAGGTCGCGCTCATTTTCAAGGGAGCTGGGCTATAAAAATAAGGTGGGGAAAAAGACGAAATGTGAGATTAAAAAAAAAAAACTGTGAAGGCTTTAAGTGAGTGTGAATAGAAATTATATGCAATCACAGTATGCATTCGATATACTAGTGAGCAATGCATAAGTTAATTTACAAAAAAAGTTTGTGGGTGAAATACTTGAGAAATACTTACTGGCATGGAAGGTGAACTGGAATTGCTGAATGAAAGGCGCGAATCGTTATCATTGTCATCATATTCGGACTTGCTGAGGCTACAAATAAAGAACGGAAATGTTATTTAGTTTGTTTCAGTAGCCCAGTAGATAGTCAGAAATGGTCTGATTTAGTCAGGAGGATAAATCCTGGAGTACGACAACAGGCTTATTACGAGTATCAAATACAGTAAATATGGAGAGTGGGGAACCTAGAGAAATACTCACTTAAATTTGCTAATATCCGTTAGATCGAATGGTGGTTTGGCAAATTTCTGATACATAGCGAAGAGATTATAACGCGAATCCTCAGTTGTTGAGTCCTTTAAATTTGGGGAATTGAATTAATGTTTGTGAACAGCAAATGTGATAATGGCAAGCTCAAACGATTTGATAGCAAAGCAAATAAGTAAACAACGTTTTTTTTTTGGTTTGTTTTAAGCGCAAATTTATTCGTAATTTTTATGCAATATTTTTAAATTAATATCTATACTATTTATGAAGCGATGGAACTTAAAAAAACTCGCTTGTTAGGCAGTGAGTTGTTCAAATGTAACTATGTACTTACATAAAATATATAAATAAATCAACAAACGCATAACAGAAAGCAACCATTATCCACAATATAAATTAAATAAATTTCAAGTTAAACTAATTACTATAATTTATATAAGTTACTAAAAATTTGCAAAACTACCGAAAGAAAAATGAAAAATAAAATAAATTTAAAATAATAAATGAAATTAACAAATAAAATAAGAAAATAAAAATTAAATCAAATAAAAAATAATTGTAAAGTGAATTAAAACAAACAAAAAATAAAGAGAAAAATTTGAATAGTAAATGAAATAAAAATATTAAAAAATAAATTTACTCAATAAAGAAATAAATTAAATTAAATAAGGCGAAATAAAATAAAATAAATTTGAAATAAAACGATTAAAAAAGAAATAAGGAAAAAGAGATAAAAAAAAATTAATTTTAAACAAACCATATATTTAATTTTATAAAAAATAAGGAAGTTAAAAAATGAAAGAAAAATAAAAAATTTGTATTGTAAAAGTAAAATAAAATAAAAATTAAAAAAAAAAAAAACATTTAAAAACTTAATCATTTATTAATATAAATAAAATAAATACAGGATAAAGATATTTGGCCGCCACATAAAGGGGGTAAAACTGTAGGTCTCAGTTTTACGCCGACTCTGAACGGCGATTGTATTTTTTTTTATGAGAGACTGTTTTTTTCATGGCAGAAATACACTCGGAGGTTGCCATTGCTTGCCGAGGGTAGACCGCTACTAGGAAAGAACTTTTTTTCAAAATTTTTTTAGCGATGTTGCTTTGATCAGTGCTTCAACCCAGGCCCTACACAGTGGAAGCGCGCACTGCTTACCATTACACCACAGCGGTTGCCAATAAAAATATTATAAATCAAAATGACAAAAAAAAATAAATTATATTACATCAAAACAAGAAATGAAAAAAAATTTATTGGACGAAGCAGTAAAACTATTTTTTTTAAATAATATAAAAAATAATAATATGTATAGTAAAAGTAAAAAAAATACAAAAAAAGAACTTAAAATGAAACAAATAAAAAAATATGTTTTAAATAAATGGAATAAAAATAGTATAAGACAAAATAAAATAGAATCAAAACGATATAAAACAAAATGAAATAAAATAAAATAACAAAAAAAAATATATTATTCATATTAAATCAAAACAGAAATTAAAATTTTTTTGGACGAATTTAAATAAAGTAAAACTAAACTAAATAAAATAAAGAAACAAAAGCAGTTGAATAAATTTTTTTTAAATAATGAAACTATAATAACTTAAACAAAAAACGTAATAAATCATAAATAACAAATAACGAAAAATTGAGTCAAGTAAAAAATTTTAAATAAAAAACGACATACAAAAAGTTTTTAAATATAATAAAGAAAATGAAAAGAAGAAGAACTGAAACACAATAAAATAAAGTAATAACATAAAAATAAATACAAGAATAAAATAAAATAAACACATAAATAGTACATTTTAAAATAGTTATTCTAGAAGTGTAACAAAACAATTGTAACTATAACCTCGTGCTATTGCAATCTAATTACTTAATTTAAAATAATTTTAGTTTAGTAACAACTATTTTTTTAATACCTTTTGTTAATACTGTAATCATTTTCTTGAGTCTGTGATAAAAATATCATTGCTAATGCACATACATACATAGGTATGTATTGCAATTAAAAAATATATGTTTACAAAGAACTACAGGAAACAAACAATTTTTAGGAAAAACAACCGACTTAAAAAAAAATATATATATATATTTCATGATCCAACGGTCGGAACTAAACCAGAGTAGAGTACCACCTCTGAGACACTACCTTTCCGATTATCGAAATCGGTCGACGTGGTCCAAAGTTATGCGGTAACATACATAAACAAAAAAAAAATATATTCCGACGAACTGATAACCTCCTCCTCTTTTAGAAATCGGTTAAAAATCAACTAAACTCGATGCAAAATAATTCTAGTTTTGAACAAATTCATCGAGTTTAAATTTTAGACGTTGTTTTTTATTTTGAGGATATCGATACCTAAGTGGAAGATCGACCTATATCCGCAGCCAGTTCGAAAATGCCCTATCTTAGAAAACTTTTCAAGAACGCCCTACTTCAGAATTTGATTGAAGAGCGCCCTATTTCAGAATTTGATTGAAGAAGAATAAGCTGCCGATTCAAAATTGCCCTATCTCAGCACATTTATAATATATTTTTAGCTGTGATAGGGCGTTTTTGAAACAAATTCTGACCCTTACTTTATTTTTCCTATCTCTGATTAAAGGGATTACTTTACATCTCTGGTAAAAAGTATTTGGGTATTGATTACTCCTGACGAAAAGTCTGTTTTCAAATTAGCCACGCCTTAACACAATACCATAGTTTGAAAACTATCCAACGATGATGTACTTTTGACAAAAATTTGTTTCGAAATACATCCGCTCTTAGCCAGTGCTAAGAATCAACAAATAAAAAGAAATGATCCGACTATTTTCATCCAATGCAGCCACGGTATTTTTCCATCCAACCTTGGTCCTTTCTGCCAGGAATTTCCGCCGCATGAGGTTTGAGGCTAATAAAAAAGCGACTAGCGACTAGATAAATCCTCTCTAATATGTGTTTATATATATAATTTTGGACGATCGCAACTTGTCTCAAAAACTAGAAAAGAATATTGACCTATTTGGTCTAATTGTTTTAACGACGAGAATATAACATTTTCTGGAGCCGAAGTATTTAGAGAAGAACCATTTGGTTTAAGATGAAGAAGTATAGGGTATTGAATAAGTTTCTTTAGTCAAGTAAACGAGGGATGAAAACTGTAAGAAAAAAGTTTAGGGCAAAAGAAGGCACCTAGGTCACAAGAAAAATTAATTGTATATTGTTTCCGTCCCGTGTGGTAAAAAATATTTTTCAATTACATCAGAAATAAAGCCCCTAATTATAAAGAAAATATGAGTACATTGCCAATACTCTCGACCCAAGCGTTTTCCTTCGTATGAGCCACCGTAAGCTGAAGCTAAAGCATATTTGAAAAGCAAAAAAAAGCATTCTGGATTAGTTAATTGCAGGCGTTTGCAATGCAGCCAGCCTTGGCGCAATTTATCTACTTATCAGAACTTTATTTGCTTACCCGGCTCAGACCCAAATCGGCAGGCGTCACCGCGCTCGTTGTCTCGGTGGAGGCCAAACGCGCACGCTTACCCGACGCAGACGCCATCGAATCACTCGATTCACAATCCAGGACGGCAACGGAACGCGCCATCGCCTGCTGTGCCTGCATTACTTGCGGTAACAGGCCCCCATAACGCGCTATACTCGCCGAATGCCCAAAACCGGCATCCTTAACAATTTGACGCGCTAG